AATAACACACTGGGGTTAAAATTAGAATCAATTTACACATGCTTTAATATGTTAGTCAAAATAAGTATACTTCTTTTAAGCATAAAAACGATTAGAAAAACAATTATTTAAAATGTGCTTTTAAGTAAAGCTTTTTATTTGACATCCAAGTGCAATTTCTAAAAATTGTACATAAGTGTGTGTGTGTGTGTATATATATATATATATATATATACATACATACTGTATATATACATGTAGGAGCAGGATTTAATAAAAAAAATTGTAGCATGTTTGGATGCGGTCTAAAACCATTTTTGGTATTTCACTATTAAAATTTGTCTTAATTGAATAAATGTGGTGTAAAAAATATATATATAATTAATCATGGGATAATAAGAGTTCATTTTGACAATCCTAGTCATTACTTGTTTGTTTTATGTACCTGTATCTCTTTGTCCCATCCTTTATATCACTCTACTGTCAAATAAGTCTCTCAGTCAGAAGGTCATGCTCGACACTGATTCATTTAGTTTTCCCACACAGAATCGAGCGAACACGAGGACAAGAGTACTGACGCTTCCGGAGACGTTCCCGTCCAGTCATGCCCTCCCGAGACCCCCACCCTCACCGCCACAGATGCCCCTGAGGAGGAAGGAGACGCTCCCGAGCCCCCACAGGACACCCAGGAGAATGACGACATGGGCCCTTTGCCAGATAACTGGGAGATGGCCTACACTGAGAAAGGAGAAGTTTACTTCATAGAGTGAGTGAAGTGCACTTCAAAGCACACTTCATAATAAAAGAGGTGTGAACATATGGAGCGCTACCTGTTGCAGTGTCCTCTTTTACAGATCGTTACAGACAGCTGAATTATTTATGCGTGCTGTATTGAGCTCACTCAGTTCAGTGCAGTTCAGTTTACTGCATTTTGCATTTCAGAACTTCAGCACATGGTAGGACTGGAAATGTAGAGTAGTTTAAAATGATCATTTAAGTTCTTTAAACTGATTAATTAATTTGTATTAATTAATGTAAGATTACTTAATATAAAGTTATAAAATATAAAGTAATTTTATATGAATCATTTGATTAATATATAAATATTAATTGTAAATTAAATTTTTCAATATTTCAATCAAACAAGGCAATTGTAAAAAATGGTATTTGTTCATATTATTTAATGCACTTGAGTTCATTTGAACTAACATTAAACAGCTGTATTTTTATTAACTAACGTTAACAAAGATTAATAAATGCTATGAGTTTTGCTCATTGTTAATGTTAGTTAATATGTTACGTTAACTAATGGGACCTTATTGTAAAGTGTTACCAAAATGTTTAAAGCTAGAAGGACGATATAACAAAAATATATTATTTTAATTCATATAAGCCAAAATATTACAATATAAAAAAAATAGTGTTTTTTTACTAACAAATTTTAACACATAAAATCTGCACATGGACTTTAATGAACATTTTAGTGATGAACTGACACATTGGATTTTGCTGAGCCATGAATCATGATGATGAACGAATGAATCAGTATAAAACTGAGGGAAGAGCATTCTTAAGTGTTCTTAAGAGCAAGAGAGAGATGTTCCTCTCCCTCCCATCTGTCCTTAATGAGAAACGAGGGACTTATTAAAAGTATTGATTGTCATTGTGTTAACTGAAAAAACCCCCTGCTACTGTGACTGAGGCCTTCTGGGATATCTAGTCTAGAATGTTTTACATTTCAAAGTGAAGCTTGTACCAACATTTGGCAGACATAACACACTTAGAGACGCTTTTGATTTGTATCATGGTAGCTAAACTGTATTATACTTACTATTAATTGTTGCAATGTTTGTTCTTTTCAGTCACAATACCAAAACAACGTCATGGCTCGACCCTCGACTAGCGAAGAAAGCCAAGCCCCCAGAGGATTGTGAGGAAGATGGTGAGTGTTTGAGTGTGTTAACATGTGTATGTGTGTGTGTGTGTGTGTGTGTGTGTGTGTGTGTGTGTGAGTGTGTTGCTCTCTTTTACGCTTGGAGAAATTTGAAGTTGTGACCTCTACTTGTATTTTCCCTCTGGAGATGAAACAGAGTACGCGTGAAAGATTGTAACATGAAATCTGAGGAGGATGTTTCCATTTTGTGGGCTTGTTTGTGATGTCAGAACACGATCAGATTGTGCTCTGGTTTCATGAAACATCCAGAATGACAAACCTCTAGCTCATGTTTGCATGCTATATTTATGAATGACAGGTTTATTCAGCATTGCTGTATAAGTTTATCTTTTTATTCGTTCATTTGCACATTTTTTTGTTCATTCAACCATCTTTCCAACCATCCATAAAACCACCAATCTATATAGCCATTCATTCGTTTGTTCATCCATTTGTCTATTAAGCATCTATCCTCCATTTATTTATTTGCTTGTTCAATCATTTGTTCAGTCATATAGCCATCCATTCATCCACCCATTCGTCTATTTATCTATCCCACCATACATACTGTATAAACATTGCATTTCATTTCAATTCATCCATTAAGCCATTTATCCTCTATTCATTCGTTTGTTTGTTCATTCATCCATCCACTCTTCCATTCTCTATTCATTTGTTTGTTAGTTAATTCACCAATCCTTTAAATATCTATCCTCCATTCACTTTGCTTGTTAAATCATTTGTTTGTTTAGTCATCCATCCATCCATTCCCTATTCATTTGTTTGTTCATTCATTCACCCATCCTTTAAGTATATCCTCCATTCAATTGTTGTCTTGTTCATTTGTTTGTACGATCAGAAAAGTATTAATTAATTCATTCATTCATTCCTTCATCTATAAAGCAGTCATTCATCCTCCATTCCAGTCATTCATTAGTTTATTTGTTCAGACTTTCCCCATTGAGTTGGTTGGTTTGTTCATTCATTCATCCATTAAGCATCTGTCCTCTATTCATCCATTCGTTTGCATATTGATTAGTTTATTTATTCATTTGTTTGTTCATCCATCCATCCTTTGTTTGTTCATTCAGTCACCAATCCTTTGAGAATCTATCCTCCATTCATTTGTTAATTCATTCATTCATTTGATCAGAAAGCTATTTATTCATTCTTTCATTCATCCTCCTTTCTATTCATAATTTTTTTTGTTCATACATGCATCCATAAACCCATCTAACCTGCATTCATACATCCATCCTTCTACCCTCCATGCATTCATTAATTTGTTCATTCATCCATCCATGCTTCCATAAAGCCATCTATCCATTCTTACAGCCATTCATTTGTACATTTTTTATTTCTTCATTCACACTTATAAAATTACCTGAGCTCTAAAAATGGAGCACAAGTCAGCATGATATATTCATTAGAATGCTTAAAACATGTATTTTTTATGTTTTCTTCTCAGCTGGGCTGTTGAACATGCTATGTACCCAAATCTACCATCTTTGAAACCCTCCGTTGAATTTAAAATGCAATTGAATGGGGCCAGAGAAATCAATATCTCTTTCCACAGGCCTTTTAATGCCTCTCTGTGACATGACTACTAATATCCCTCTCCGTAGTACAGCTTAGATCTATTTTTTGGGCAAGTCTGTGCAACAATGTAAGTTCATACGCATAATCATGATTGATTTCCGTCGTGTTCAATAATAACTGCTGCAAAGAAATCACTCTGTGTATTGCAAATTTGATCCAAGTCTGTCTTCAAAGTTCAGACATGTACATGATTCAGAATTTAATTCAGATGTCTGTTAGCTTTTGATCCTCATGGGGCGGCACAGTTTCATCATAAGTTCCCATCGAAGGTTAGATAAAAGATGATCTGTCTGTGTCTACCTAATTTTGCCTTCAAAATCAATGTAACTCACGACTCTTTGTGTAATTTCAGAGGCGTACCCGTTTAATTTAGCAACAATGGAATAATTTTTCCATTTTTCTCACGCTCTAAAATTTACTCTGTGCTTGCTAATTAATCATCCCTGCTGTGAAATCAATGCTGTTTTGACAGCATAAATTTCACAGGACATTTAAAGACGCATCCGGCACACATGTACACGCTTATATTTACACTTGTGCATTCAGTGCACTCAAATATACATAAGCCAGTCAGTGAATGAAAGAGCCTGAAAAAGAGACTTCTCCCATAGTTGCCATGGCAACTGCCGATGGAGGACCATTGATTTAAGGAGGCTTGAGAAAAGATATTTAAGGTGGTCTGGGTTAGATCATTGTCTTAAAACCATGAAAGGACCAAAAGATTCCCCCAAAAACATTTAAGATTTTCTTTAATATGTATTCTTTATATGTATGTTTCAGAATTTTTTTCCAAATATGGTACATTAATAATCTGTTAAGAATTATAGTGTTATATTTATATAAAAATTGTTATTGTATAAATTATAAATGATATAAAAATTGCAATATTGTGGGAATGAGTAGGTAATATGTCTGAATATGTTTGAATATTATTATTTATAATACAGTATATTAATTATTAAAAACCAAGATATTTTCTAAATGTGGTGCATACATGATCTATTAGGCGTTATTGAAGCTAATAATATTTGCTACATTTATAAATGAACATTTTTAACTTTTTCGTGAATTTACAATATAGAGAAACGCTGACTAGGTAATATTTTTGAACATTTTGAATCTTATTATGTTATTTATAACTTATTCATTAAAAACAAATTGTTTTCTAATTGTGGTACATTATAATGTTATAATATTTGTTAAATTCTTAAGATTTTTAAAGGGGGTTTGCAGTTCTGCGGGAACATTAAGTAGGTTACTTATTATTGCAGTTTTGCCGGTCGTATCTGCATAAACACATTTCATTACACCAAATACACAAAATAATGTTCTTTTTAGCAACATCATATGACCCCTTTAAGTAGGTTACTTATTTAAACATTTTAAATATTATTCATTTGTTGTTTATCATTTATTTATTAAAACAGATGCCTTAGAGCATGACACCATACCCTGTTGTACATATTCTTTGTATTTATAAATAATTTCTAAATTTTAAATTAAATTTTTTGTAATTTTTAATGTGCAGTAATTTTTGCCCATGCATGAACGTTGAGTAGGTGTTAATAAAAAAATTTTTTTGTTGGTTTTAAAACATGTTGTTTTCCACCTCCCTGTAAGTTACAAATAGACATTATAAAGAGAAGTAATAAATATGACCTATTATAAGTTAGATTAAATATTTAACATTTGGCGCCAATTTCTTCCATACCAAGATAGGATCTTTAAAAGAAAACTACAGTAAATCCAGCCAAGGTTGTGTCACACTTCTCACTTTTTTGTATTAAGAAAGTATCGCCATCTGGTGTGTTACTCATCTTTCTCTCTGAATTAAAGCGGTGTATGTGACACATATAAGAGGCTCGTCCTGTATCCTCTTGGATGACAGCCTCCAAAAGGTCAGTTCTTAATGTAAATCCTAAATATGAGACTGGTTTCTGATTGTGAGGGGAAGGGTCAAGCATTAGCGGATGCGGCGTAGCCGGTTGGTGTGTGTGTAAGAGGGAATTGATTGCTCTAACCCTCCTAGGGAGGTGCGAGAACCTCGTTGGTCATCACACCTGCTCCTGCCTCCTCCGGCCCAGCGTTCTGTTCAGCGCAGCATCCATTCACTCAACTAATGAATATCTGAACGCAGCATGGCTTCTTTTTACACAGTATGAGTAAAAAAACCAGCTTTGAGGGCATGTCTATAGAGTATCTTTATGTGTGTCAATGCAGAGGCTGCAGCATGACTTGTGTGTGTTTGTTTCTTTACTTGTTTTTAGAAAAAAAAGTGTAATAAAAAAACAATTTGCAATTTCCATGAAAAATCTCCACTGTGATGCCATATGGCGCTTTTCCACTGCATGGTATGACTCGGCTCGGTACGGCTCAGTACGGCACGGCTCGGTTTGCGTTTCCACTGCAGTTTAGTACCGCTTTAGAGTGGGCGGGATTATTCACATGTCGTTATAGTTGCGCCGCCTCTACTGCCGCGACTCCTGAAAAACTTTTTCATTCCGCATCGCCCCATCAAGCTCTCGCTGGATCCGCTCCTCTGCTATCAACGAGAGGAACGTCTGTACTTTGCTGGCTGTGCTGATTTAAATCTAGCGGTTCTGTTGTGTTTGTGTCA